TGTACTGGAACTATTAAGGACTTTTTGAATAAATCTGGAAATATTCCTGTTTTGAAAGTTGGATTTACAATATGAGATATGGGAACCAAAATATTTGATTTTGATAATTTAATTAATTTCGTGGAAATATCATCCAGTCCAGGCGCTGAGTCATTCTTCAGGGAGTCTATGATGGAGATACATATATATGGAGGCAACATTCGACCTGTCTTCATATGTATTATTGCTTTTTGGTTGTATCTTTTTTGCCATTTCAATTCCAACATTTACAAAGTTTTCATTGCAGAAGTTAGCCATTCTTAGGTTGTCGTCAAAAGGGGTGTTATTAGTGTCATTTATGGAGAAATTTGTGTCTTTTTTGTAATGGTTAAGATTGGTAGCATCATTAATTGTTTTATATTTTTTTAGGTTGTTTTTGTTGTGTTCCATTTGATTTTTATAATAGTGATATTTTTGTTGTTTTAAGAGTTTATTTAAAAAGTTTCTGTAGTGTTTGTATTTAGCTTCTAATGCAGAAGTATAATTTCTTAAAAGTGCTCTCTTTAACTGATCTCTATGTTTAATGGAATTGATCAACCCATCACTAATCCAAGCTTTAATTTTTTTATTATTTTTGAACTTAATTTTACGTACTGTTGTAGCTGATTTTTTTACATCAACAAATACATTTATACATGTATTAGTCGCTTCATTGGAGTCGAAACAACTAACGATCTCCTTCCAGTTTATCATAGATATTTTTTCTTTAAACATCTCATAATCTATGTAGACCCCACGATCTGGCAGATTGTTTTTTTTCCCTAGAAAAATCTCTTTCATAATTTATGTTTAGAGAAATTGGGTAGTGATCAGTCAAATCGCTGTTCAGTCGAAGTTTCAGGCCTTGACTTTTTAGTTTTTGTTTCACAAATAAATGATCTATACATGAGTTAGAATTTTTTGTAACTCGAGTGGGAAGGTTTCTATATGATAAAAATTGATCACAGGAAATGGTATCACGCAAGTTTGGTTTCGCTATGAATTTTCGAACCATTCTCTGAACGGTTGCACCAAAAGTATCATCGTAAATTCGACTTGATTGCCTTCGTTATCAAATGATCTGCCGCTATTACAAAAACGGTCGAACAACGAACTTATATAATCGGTACCAACAACAATGTGCAACGAGCAAATAAATTTTTTTCTGTGTCGTGCACGCCATTGTGGCGTATTGCACAGCGCGGTGCTTAGTAGGACGTTAGCCGAGCAATTTACCAGTAGAAAGTATTCCGATATTTTATAACAAAACCAGCTACAAAACCTGACGGTTCGTGGAACCACACGAAACTGTTGTGGTTTTCCAGTCGGTGTCCGTATTGAAGCAGTGAATTTTCATCGCCATCAGGCGGGTGGTTAAGTGAAACTGGTGCAGAACAGTTTTCCAACAGTCGCACAGTGATTTTTGATTGGAGTGGTTTTGTCAAGTACAAGTGAAAATGATGTCATTGATTGTGTTATCAATCGCACTCAAATCCTCATTTTGTCATTAAAAATCGCAGGTTTTTGCATAACGCGCCCCATTTTTCTCCTGGTTTCAATCTGCTAATACCAACTGCAGCGTTAATGTTTTCGACGACTTTGTTCCGTTACGTTGAGAAAATTCAATGGGAAAATGTGATATAAAGTGAAAAGTGTGCACTCGCGTAACCCAGTTTTGCATAATTGCCTAACGAACAATGCCAGCGACTCGTTTGCTTTAGAGCTTGGATATGTTTTGCTACGAAAACCGATGTTTGGAGCCGGAGAAACGCCAGGATTTGCCCTGGATGAAAAAGATACGAATTTACCTGCCGTATGAGGTAATTTTCAGTTGGATGGTACTTTTAAGGGCATTGAAAAGATAGAGGTAGAAACTTTGAGTCGAGGTCTTTCTTCAAATTTGCCCAGAAGACTCTGCTTAAAGATCGTCAATGCTTAGAACTGAGAGATTTAGTTCGTTTTACTGCCAACTGGCGATTTTCTACTGTTTTAATGGTTGATTGGAGTCAGCGGTTTGGAAGGTTTTGCTTAGAAAACAGACTTCATCTTCACAAGATTGCAATGGAAGGTCAATGAGTTTCAATGAGGCGAGTTTTTCTTGCCCGCCTGGATGAAGCTGCAAAGTATAGTCGAAGTGCCGATTTTATCGGAATTTTTTAAGTTCTCACAAAAGCGATTTAGCCGAACTACGAAATTTTCGGGATTATTGACGCAAAACTTAGCTGAATCTCAAAATTCTCAAATGCAAACTTTGTTCTTCGTTGTCTTCACCAAGCGTTAAGTTTGTGTTCAATTTTTTATGCGTAGGCCACATTATTGACGAATATCGGTATTTTCGTGCACAAAAATCAACCTAGTTTGTCTAATCATTAAAACTTATCTAAACTCCAGGACTAAATAAATCTTTATCTAAATTCCCCAGATTTATGCCAAAAAAATAAATTCCTAGAAAACTGGACACTGTTTATATCATCCTGCATTTGTGTCAAACGTTCAACAAACATGAATATTAAAGGAGCATTTCGGGGGTCTTCGAACGGGCGCAGTAACCTCTGAAGATGTAAGCCACTGGTGCTTGCGAAACGTTCGACACCCTAAATGCGCAAAAACCTTCCCGTTTGCAATCGAATTGAACTTTGCAAATAATTTATCTGGTCCCATTATGAAAATCTAATTAGACATAACTTATAAATTGTGGTTAGAGGGCAGCTGGCAATTCACTGATTTAACATTTCCTGTCCCATTTTAATGGTTCGAAAACCTTCGCTGATCACTTCGAAACGTTTTGCAATTTTGCATAAACAATCGAAACTTTATGAACTTTTCCCCAGTCTCAGTAGCCAAACCGCCACATAAATTCGCCGTCTAATGAATAATTTAGAAGCGTACACGGGCCTCTAAGAGCCCTTTTCTATGCAAACTACTGCCACATTATGCTGCGGCCAGAGCGAAATACTGGTTGATATTGAAGGGCTGTTGATGTGCCCTATTTGGGCATTTTTCACTTCACTGTCCGGCGTGTGTGAAAAGAAAAAAAAATTTGAATCCTGCAGAATATTTTAGTCTAAGCGCTCGCATTAAATGTTAATGACGTTACGAGTTCAGTTTGCAGAGTTTTGTGCTCCAAATGCTGCTAAAGTCTAGCTCTTATTCACTTAAAACGTACAATACAAGCGGATACGTAGGTACTTAACAATTCTACAGCAAAGAATCCGTAAGTGTACTTGGTGAAAAGCGTTTTTTTGCCAGCACCGTTAGAAACAATGGCAGCAAATTAACTTTTCTGTTGGGCGTTTTCCGCAACTTTTCAAGAAAACAATATATTCCAGCCGAAAACCGAGTTTTTCCTCCTGAAAACAAGGTCGCGTACGGTAATTACCGTATTTTCCGTGACTATTGTGCGGGATTTCTATTATTATGTGCAACAGCACCCAAGGTTCGGGCCATATCGCAACAGTAATTCATTACGAGATGCAAATGGGCTTTTCAGTGTTTACCAACCAAGGAAGCTTTTGAATGATTTCATAATTTGCGTCGCATAAGTCGATAGGCATAATGTCTGGTGTCGACACTGGCCAACCTACATTTCCAATGGTCTCGCAGAAAATTAATTCTCCATAATCTAGTCATCATCTTTAAGCGTTTTATGGCCAGTTTTGTTATTGTTATAAAACAGCAAACAGAATGTCATCGGCTTTGTACTATTGGTGTCAATTCGTTCTGTAATTTTGTGTGCAATATTTTAGCATCCGCGTGTTAAGCCGACTTTTGACCGTTAGGTTGGGGTCAAAAATATGACAAAAAGTTAGAATGTTTTTTTTATTTGGGTTGCATCAAGTGTTAAGAGCGGTTGAACCCAAACCGCGCGTTAGATTTTTAAGGAGTGAGTCAAGAAATATTGATAAAAACAATTATTTTTTAAGCTTAAGCTTCTAATAAAGTTGGGTGGCAAGAGAATACATATGTGATTTTCGTATTTATTTTCTCCCAAACTTTTTATCGCTTTGCCTTTCTAGTCTTTGCCTTTGCCTTTGCGCTAGTCTATTTTTCATTTTGCGTTAGAGCTTTACGCAGTTTGTTTCACATTCAACTAATGATAAAAAGTGGAAAATATGACTCTTAAACCAATGAAAACGGACGCGAACATAATGCCTGAAAACTAGAAAAAATCGGGTTTGTCGAATTTGATCTCAGAAATTGGCTGAAAACGATACTTTGTCTTGTTGGCGTTACAAGAATGTAAACTTTATGGTCAGGAATAAAACGATTACATTTCGAAAGAAAGTCAGACGCAATTGTTACAATTTTTTAAATCGAATATTGAACCATTTTAAATTATTATTTTCTAGCCCTTCGCTTTCTTTCTTTACAAATTCCAATTAATTTTAGTTTCGGTTTTTGATTTTTTCCTTTAAATTCTGTCATTTAACGTAACTGGTTTCAACTTATCGAATATTTTTGCAAACAATTTTGAGCCGCAAATCAGAGACTTTTAAAGGAAGCGCGATAGATTAAAAACCACGCAATCAATCTTTTGAAGCTGCATTTTGATTTTTGAATGATCCACTCGTAGTTCTATGAAAATGTTTACCGAAATAGTTTAGTTTAGTGACCACCGTCAGAAAAATCGTTAATCGATTAATGCGAAGGAAAAGTCACGCTTTCTATTCGCAATTAAAACATGTTGGAAACGATTTTACCTTCGACCAAAAAACCGTAAACAATTATCTGCTTGTAGACGCCTGTTTTGCGTGATGGTCAGTCATCAAGGCAAAATACGCCATATCTTCCAAATCGGTTCTACTCGGTTGATGCTGTCTTCTCTTGCTGTTTTCAAGTGTTAATCATATTTGGACAACGAGTTTGATTGCTTTATGCTCTGGCCATTATCCTTGATGAAGAAGCCACAGATAAATCGCATTTCGCCAGGACGGCATTTGTCAGCGCTACCTGTTAGTCTTCACGCAATCCGCCGAAGCAGCAAAAAAGACCTAAAGTCCACACCCAGGAATCCAGAAATAGGATTAATTACTCTCAGCTTGAACTTGACATTAGACTAACCTATTTACTAGATGGATTAAGTGCATTGGCGTTCCCCTAGCGAAATGCCAAATGCTAATTGCATTATCTGGTGCACAAGTTGCACAACAAGCCATTCGCTAATAGGCAAAAAAAACCGGATTTATGTAACGTCCTATAAAAAGTAGGATAAATTGAATGCGGGAAGCATTGAAAATGGCAAAATCACAACACCTTCAATAAACTAATCCTAATTATGGTGGCAGAACACGGCGATAAAAACTGTTATTAATTTTACTGTTATTCATCTGATGTGTTTTCACTGGCAACCGCCGTCCGCCTTTGCTGTTCCAAAAACCTAAATATTGTCTTTAGGCATTTAAATATCTCAGCTGCTAGGAAGTCCTTTTGCCTAGTTAATAATATCACCGACCATAAACATGTGTGTCTTGTCTCATTCTTTTGCGTTATTTTTAAATAAGACCCAGTATTTTTTGTTTCTCCAGTTGCAAATAACTTTGAGAAGTTTTATTTGCCACCTGTTTTTGCAAGTTAACTGTTGAATTCTCCTCGTTTTTGTTTCAGGATCTTCCAACCAAATCGCATAGTACTTGCAGTGATGGATCGTTGCTTAGTATGGATAGCTCTGAAATGGATGAGGTAAGAACCGATTCGATCTGTGTTTATTTGTTGTTTGCGTTACAAGCAAACGTTTCAGCAAAAAAGGTTTTTAATCGTGGTTTGCTGCCGCGCATTGGATCTAAAACAGCGTTCGAAGAAACAAGATCCAAGAAACTGCATTTAACGATCAGGAAAGGATGAAAACTGACCAATTTTTGACTTCGCGAAAGCGGGAAAAATTCAAAATGACATCTCCACTTCGAATAGAGGTGTGATAAACGGTTATTTTTCTGTAACGGGTTACAACGTTCCAGTTCCCGCTTGGTAATAGGTTTCAAAATGCCGTTCCAAAAGGAACATGTTACTTTTTAAATTTTTCATAAAAATGCAGAATGATGATGATAGTAGAAATGGTGTTGATATATAATGGTTTCCTTTATTTAAAACATAATTCTTAACGTTGGTAAACTTCAAATAAAATATTCTAAAATCAAAAACAAAACATGGTCAGATGTCAGAAGTAACTACTTAAAGAACAAAAAACTGATAATAAACTAGATTGATTCAATAAAATATACGTGTGGAACACTGTTATTTTAGCGGTTACGTTAAATACCGACCATCCCTAACTTCGAAATACAGTTGAGCCCGGATATAGCGAACTTGAAAAATGAACTAAAACTGGCTCGTTATATCCGGAGTTCGCTATAAGCGAATAATAATACAAAAACGCGTGGTGTATTTTATTTCGTTATTTTTACATAGAGTAGTAGAAGTTAGTAGGTATGACTAAAAAGAACGCAAAAAGATAAACAAAATTCAATTGAAAATCTACTTCATAAAGTCTGTAATTTTCGTTTGTACATTTCTGCGGCAAAAATAGATGTTATTTATGTAGTTTTCAAGATCACAAAATGACTCCCAGATATGATTAGGAACTTGGCGTGATTGTAGAAAATTCCGAGTTTCTGGAACTTTTTTTGTCATTTCAGAAATGGTTGGAACAGCATTAGTGTCTACAGTAGAATCAGTTTCACCTAAATCGCCATCTTCCTCATTATCGCTTAAAGCTGTAGATGAGCTTACGGAGTCTATAATTTGCTCATCCGTCAAAATTTCTCTTGTAAGAATGCCATTATCAATGCTCACATATTCGAAGAAATCGAATTCACTCAATTTGGTTTTAACTTGTTCTTCGACAAAATTGTGCACTCTTCTGAGTTCGTTGAGCTGTTGTTGAGCGTGGAAGTTCGTTATAAACGGAAAGTGATACAACTAACCCAAAAAGTGATCGTTATATCCGGAAGTTCGTTATAAACGGGATCGTTATAGGATGACGTTTAAATTAAAGGAAAAAAGTTCGTTTTAACCGAAAGTTTACTATAACCGGGTTCATTATAAGCGGACTTTACTGTAGTTCACTTCGTGTTTATTTATTATTTCACTACGGTTATTTGCTACACTGTATGAAATGCAATTTTGTTGTTTATTTATATCCAAACAGCAACAACCTACGTAATAAGTAATGTAATAGAGACTGTAAAAGAACCAAGTCGCTTAGGCAAAAGATGCAATTATCGAAGCTGTTGTTTTATAATTAACGGAGCTGAATTGGAAAACGTAGGTAATTGCTACGACAGAAAAAAAGCGAACGTTTATTTTCAAATCGACGAGAAATTGTTGGATAATTATTTATTAAGCTTAAATTCTCAATTTGCTGTTGTTCGATTAGTAGCAAAATTCAATTATAATATCGCTGCCAGGATCGGATAACAATTCATAATCAATTTGCATACCTTATAAATAATCAGTGCGGCAGGTCAACTTCATATGGCTGATATACAACTAATTGCGGCTGTAATATTAGAAATGTTTCCCATACAAATGGCCTAATTATCTACCTAAAACGTAGAAGATTCAGAGAAGATTAGATCTATTTGTCGTCGCCTTATTGGAATATTTTTTAGCAAATTTCAAAATAAATTGTGATGTTGTGGTGGTATCCTTCACCAAAACCAGTGCGTCATGCCATTTAACCTTTATAATCGAATTTCATTCTATAGTTACCGCCGTCAGGCTTGATTGAAATTCATTAAAAAATAGGTCAAATTGTTTATCAATTTGTGCAAGTCAAAAACTGCTGAAAATTATTTAGTGGTTTGTTTACGCAAAATTCCGATCAATTCTTCAACATGTGTTTTGTTGCAGGATTCCGTTGGATTGCAATCAAGGCATTCCTCGAGGGTTTCGTTAAACGAGAAAAAAGTGGAGCAAGGTAATTTAACAATGTGATTGTCTGTTAGAAGACGAGGAAAAAACGGAACGTGTTTTTCTCTCATGTTTATGATCTAAATTGCCGGTCTCGCAGCTTGAATGCGACCTGATAATCTTCTGGGAAATAAACCTGCATGCACAAGGCTTTAATCACATCAAGGTTTGTTTTCGGTAGAAACTAATATTTTCAACGACCTACGCAAACGTGCAGAAATACTCAAAGTAAGAATTCGCGCACGATTTGCCTATCCGTACCCACTTGTCTTGCCAATATCTGATTATCGACAGACTGTTTTATTTGAGCTGCATAAAATCCCCGAGTAAACTTATTGTAATATATTTCGAGCTTCTGTCATGTCCTGCGTCTCGTGATATTCTAATGAGATTTCCTGCATAAGCTTTTCAAAGGAATTTTCAATTCAAATCAGATGCAGTGAACAGTTTCGATTTGCCATCTCTAGGCCAATAGCGTTTCGCAACCAACTAAAGCTTTAGCTGTTCATGAGAGTTATTTATATTTTCACATATGCCCAGTCGACACAAAAGAAATTCATTTCACGTGTTTTTAACATTTGGAAAATCGATTTTTTTTTTATGAATAGTGCAACGAAAACACTTCTGGATCCACTTGTGCCTACTGAATGTTTTATTTAAATTGATCATGTTTCTGATATGAAAATTTTTATTTTTGTGTAGAGTCAGACTTAGAACTAGGACCTAGTTTTTCTTCCACGCCTTTGAACCATAGTGCTGCACATCACAGGGTATCGGTCAGGCCGAAACGAACTTACGGGGCACCGAGAAGAAAAAAAGGACAGGTAATAATACTTGAATCACACCCGCCGTTGTTTGTTCTGTGATTTTGATAAATTTGTTGAATTTCAGCTTGCCTCAGCGCTTCCAGCCACTCCCGAAGTGAACGAGGATGCCTCAATACGGAGCATTTCCCCCGACAGCATTACCACAGGTATGCAACCATCACTAATTTCTATCTAACTTGTACATAACAATCGGAATATTCATGTTTGATGTTGTGTTGCACAACATTTAATCAATTAACGCAAAATCTACTGTGCCTTTTGAATGTTGCGTCAACTTCCGCTCTTTGCAACACCGATTTACCTTCAGAACAGATTTTTACATGCCGGTGCCCGAATGCCTGTATTAGAAAAAGAAGGCACACAACAATGGGCGTTTCAACTAGGCTTTGCCTTCTCTAATACAGTCATTTGGGGTTCCGCCTTGTTCCACTCACGAATAGCTTTGAGCATTTTCGTCATCCATCATTATTAAGCCCTAAACGAATGTGCTTCGTTCATTGATTGTAACTAATTCTCGCTTTCGCTTCGCATCTGTTCGTTCCAGAGCCGATAACCGAGCTTTATAGCAGTACAGCTCGCAGCCTTCGCAAGACCACCTTAGTGCCGCTCGAGGTGAAATTAAAATGTAATTCTTTACCAGCCGGAGTGACTCCGCCCACTTCTGATTCGTTCAGGCTGAGCAGGAGTCGATCAAATGCCGGCAAGAGTCAAGACGACGCAAATCTGGATGGGGAGATTAGGGAGGAAAAGTTGTCGCTGTTTGAGCGGCTGTTTCCTAGGCGGAGCGGCAAGAAGAAGAAGAAGGAAGAGGCACGCGATAGGGAGGAGAAGCTTGTGCAGAAAGAGAAAATTGCCAAGATGGAAGTGGACGGCAACACTAGAACTAGTGTAAACGAGGAACGGAAGGTAAGGTACCAACTAACAGGGAGAGTCAGGAGGGATTTTTTTCGAAACTGGCCCTAAATAACCGCGTTGTTCCACAGAGCGTCCACATTCGCTCAGCAACTCCAACGAGTGTGAAGACCATCAGTGAGGTGCGAACCTCAATATCATCGCATTCGCATACCAGGCGCGAAGAAAAACCTTCAGTGGCGCCTCGGTCCGGAGCGGCTTCCAGACAGAGAATTCAACCAATTGATATCCCAGCCAGTCCAAAAGACCCGCGCAGCACAAGCCAGCCAATGTCTCCAGAGAAAGCGTTCAGCTCTGGAACTTCCCCCATCCAAATGGAGCTGGAAAGTTTCCTAAAGCAGCGCCAACTGTCTTCCACTACTAGTCCGAAAGAGTCTGTCCCCTCGCCACCCCAATCCCCAAAACTAACTTCCGCCCAGGCTTCTACCACCTCCAAACACTTCCAATCATCGTATTCCACAGAAGCAAGTTACGCCGAACATAAGATTAGTTCAGAAGATATCAGGAGTAAGATCAAATTGGCCGGACTGTCGTCCCTACAGCAGCGCGTTCTTAGTCTCAATGCAGGACCAGAGGAAGATAACTCATACACATCGCTGATGGAGGTCCCTTTGAGGCCCAGCAAGCCTTTGGCCAAATCGCACAGTTTCAAGAACCAAAAGCCTTCGTTAAAGAAGCCGCTTGAAGAGGTGACCGAAGACGTAACTGAGCGAAGAAAATCGGTCACTAAAGCCACTTCCCTGGACAGCGTGAAGAATCTCGAAGAGCCCAGCTTAAAATCCGAATTAAAATTGACGCTCCAGCCTGCAGCAGGGAGGGCGACGCAATCGGAAGTTCCCGAACCAGAAGTGGCGAAGAAAAAAAACCCGGAAATAGTGGGCCAGAGCTACAAAAAGGCCAGCATCGAAAAGGAACCGAGTGTCGCAGCACCAGAGCTTGCAAATGGGCTTGAAGAGGAGAGCGGCGAAAAACTAGAGGCGCCGGGCGTTCGAAATGCATCAGTTCCGAAGTCATTCAGTGACAATTCGATTACGATATCTGGACCTAGTCATACAGCAATAGTGAACGTTACCAGCAAGTCGGAAGACTTCAGCAAAAGTTCCTCCACTTCCGAAAGCGAAGTTCTAGATAGCGATGGATCGAAGAAGCTGATCTTCAAGGAAAGTCAGGTGTCTGTGACGAAGATCCAGCTGAAGCACGAAACGACCCAGATAACGAACAGTAGTGTCGTGCTGCCAAAGGCCAGTGTTCCTGAGTTCTTCAACAAGCAGCTGAACAGGGTGGAAACACGCCCCACCAGCAATATAGTTTTTTCGATGAAAAGCCCAAAGATTAGCCCGGAAGAGTTGCAACCAGTTAGGCCTAAAACGTTGTTTAATTTCCCGCCACCTGAAGTAAATGGAAACAAGTTTCCCAGAAAGTTCAGCAAAGAAGACGTGGAAATCATTGAAAAACCTGAATCAAATGAGGGTAAAGATGTGTCTCCACCTAAGACCCCAACAACACCTACCCAGGCAAGGTAAACTCTTCTTCAAATTTAAGCTAATGCGTTTCCTAACTAGAGCCCTTTACCCGCAACAGATTCAAGAAAAACGACTCTAAGCCATCTTCACGCAAATCTTCTGTGATATCCATTACCTCTTCGGAGTCGACGCCGGTCAAGGAATCCATCAGAGATAGAGCGCTTAAGACACGCTCGATTTCGCTGGATTCGCTTAAAAGCGAGGAAAAGCTCGAATTGAGTGGGCCCGATAAGTCCTCGCAGGACAGCTTGGATAAACGCTCAAACGACAATGTGGTCCTAAGAAGAAAGTCGTTTGTAAAGCAGAAGAACGAGGACGAGCCGGAGCTGATGAAAGTGTTCGCCAGGCGCTCTTTAAAGTTAAAGGACAGCGATATTGATCAAATCCAAGAGGCGATTGCAGACGAACAAAAGCAGCGGTAAGCAATTGAAAATATTAACTGTGTGTCCCTAATAGCGCTGGTTTGTGTATAGGGATTTTGATAAAGAAAACAATACAGAAACAACACCGGAGGTGGAAAAGAAAATACTGGTTGCCAAGGAGGACGCTAAGACGCCGCTGATCGAAAATATTCCAACAAAACCTGTGACTAAGGACGAAGTAAAAGTGTTCAAACAGCCTCTTGCCGAGATCAAAAAATCGCCCGAGTTCCTAAAAAACGTTGCCAAAGACGAGCCAGAGGTTCAGCTGAGGCGAAGCTTAAACAACAATGTGTTTTTGGGTAAGTTTTGAACTCATTTTCTCGCTTGAAATGAATAATGCTATTCGTAGCCACTCAGCGGACTGCCAGTTTAACCACGTCCAAAACGGTCGTGTCAGATTTTCACATAAAAAAGCAGGGATCGCTGAACGAAAGGCGAAAAACTGACCAATGGAACAAAAAAGATGAGATTATCGAAGAGAAACAGACGGAATCTAAACTGATTGTGGCCAAAACCGAGGACACCAGGACGGAAACGAAGAATTTCAGCCAGAGGAGAGCTGAATGGGAGAAGCGCGTACAGCAGGCGCAAAAGTAGTCGAAGCGCTAAACCGTTTTTCGGTAAGTGAAAGAAAACGTGTGCAGCTATGAGTGTGCAACCCGCAGCACATTTATTTTCAGTTTTACCGCAAAGGAGTAACCGTTGGAGCCAACAACCGATCCATAGTGTATATTAGTCAATAAATGTGATAGCATTAGTACTTAGGACAAAATATTTTATTGTGTGTGAAGGATTTTGGTGGGTTTTTTCCTGCAAAGCAAACTTTGAAAAGCAATTGTTGCTGTTGTTAATATTTGCAGGAACAAATGACCTGAAACGAAGCTCCAATATTGAGGGTATTGTTGTGTTATAAAAAGAAATAATATTTTGTCTCTAATGACCTCTATTCTTGTATAGCATTTAGATGAGCAAGTATGTTTGTTTTTCACTCCATGTCTGCGAAAACGAATATGATTTGTTTTATGTTCGCACCCTTTTATTTATTGTATATATGTTCAAATTGTCCTATATCTAATCAGCACTTTCGTTAGTTGAAAGTGCTTCTATTGGGTGTTTGATTCTATTCTGTGATTGAAACGTTTGGATTTACGTTTAATAATAACCATTCGTTCGGATTTGTTTTTGCGTTGCAGATGTTTACTAAATTCACGTCTAGACAATCAAATCCCAGTTTACAACTGCTTGATCACAACAATAAAATCGTATAGATATCATTGTACATTTATACCTAAATTTAACACTTTTGTAAATAGTTTCATGGTTGCCAACATGTATGGGTTTGTCGAGTTGCTGTATCGGAACCGAAGTGTTGATGCTCGGTTGGAAAGTGAACCCTCCCCAAAACCCTGCATAGTAGTAAGATTTAACAAATCCCCTAACCTTAGCCTTAACCAAATATCTGTTTTCTCAGTAGAAAATATGCATTTACTATCTTCCTATCCATAAGATTGTTCCAATCTTGTACTATAGATATTAGATAAGTGCCTTTTTAATTTCCGAATTTAGGATCGATTGATTTCAACTAGTTATCATTACATGAAGTGCCGATAAGAAAATGCGTTTATCAACATTTCGTCGCTGGTTACTGTGATTTCTGGTTGTCCATATGAAATAACCGGGAAAAAGGTCAGAGCATTATCTTAATGGCGCTTCATGCATTTCCATATTCTAATCCCCATGTGATGAAAATGTTATAGAAAAGATGGTGAAATCACGCTTGCCTTTCAGAAGAGAAATTTTGGTGCTTGAAAGAGAGTAAGAGAGAATTTATGTATACCGTGTGTTGATATTATCTTGATGTATTTAATAATTAGGATGTAAGACACAAATCACGCAATATGCCGAAAAAATACATGTTTATTCTAATTTCAATGCCGTTCTTTTAGTGTTGATCCTAATAATTTCAATCGATATTGATGATACTTTGGAATGCGCTGTATAAAAGTGGGACTTAAATCGGATTTTTGCCTCGCGCTATACAGGGTTATTCACGCTATACGGCACGGAAGTTTGCGGCTAAACCGTTTGATTTTTAAAAAGTATTATTTTATGAATTGTCCGACGCCTACC